AAAAGTATATATTATACTATCCAAAATATTTTACATCATAATATTTCGAAAATAAATATAAATACATGTGTATAGTTTTATGTATGAATTTTTTCAAGTTTATTTTACGTAAAAATGATATTTTCTTCAAATAAAAAAAACTAGGGAAAATATGTTCTTCAAATAAAAAATATTATCTAAAACTAGGACAAACAACCAAAATTAACTAAGACTATAGAGAACATGACAAATCAACAAATCACTTTATAAATAATAGTATAAATTCTATGTTGCTATGTGTATTATTCTGACTTTTCTGATTTGTTATGCTATCTATATTAGTAAGTTTAGCCATATTCTTTGCTCAATTATTAATCTTAATAAGTAATTAAAAAATCTAACGATAATATCATAAATAAATTTATATATATATATATGTGTGTGTGTGTTTATATTATATTTGGTTTCGTAATATTAAACATGCTCTATTTTTATAAATATATATATATATATATATCCCATAAAGATAGAATGAATCAACTATCTTTTAAGATAATTTTTTAGGATAACAAAAATCACTCATTGTAATAATTTTTGAAAAAAAAGTTGGAAAAAAATTCAAAAATATTTATAATATTATTGGTAAAGTGATTTTTTCGCTCTCACGTTAAAAGATATAGCATTTCAAAAAAATTATTACTCTTCATAAACAACTATATTTGATTTGTTGATATATATTTACCCGCATTAAAACAAATTTCATTAATTTGATAATCATCGTTATTTAAAAAGTATAAAATACATCATAAAGTTTGAAAATAAGTATAAATTTCTGTATATAGTTTTATGTATAAATGTTTCCAAGTTTATTTTACATACAAAATATTTTCTTCAAATAAAAAAACTTTATTGTATATAAAAATTAATATTAATTAATTATTAAATATTTAAAAAACATTAGAATAAACAGCTAATTTCCTAATATGTGATGATTTTATACACTATGTTCATCTCAATTTACCATGTTTACGCTTTTATAGTCTCGCCATGTCCCCCCCACCCTCCCCCACACACACAACATATCTGTAAATGAGATATAAAAATATTTGAAATATCATCTGTAGTGATGTAGATAATTCTATATATTATTAGTAAATATTCTATATATATATATATATATATATTAATTAGCATATATAAATATTTACATTTATCTAATGTAAGAAATTTATTTAGTACATAAAGCTATATAACATAATATAACTAATATAGTTAATATACAATTCTTTCAGTTTTCCAGTCTCATCAATCTTCAGAATTACAATGATCTAATGATCAGTGTTGTTTCTTAATTAGTTTGTTCCTCTAAACTATAGAACTTCTTTATCAATTTGTAAGCTATACAGTTTATTTCTATTTTATTTATGTTTTTTTTTTTAAAGGGCTTTATTTTATTTTGTTTATGTTAAGCGAAGGGTTTCTACCATTTTTATCATGTTTCCAACTGTTTTAAAATTCAAATTCATTCCATGAATCTATGAACAAGTTGGATTTATGCTTTTTGGATAATTGTTCTTTGACCAGTAAATACAAATCTAATTTATGTTACATTATTTGTTTTGAGTCCCGACTAAGATTGATATCGTTTTCTTTTCACATAGAAAATATCATTTATTAGTGCCCGCGTTTGACAACAATTTGCTTGGTCATGTTACGCGTTTGATCACACAAGATGATACGAAGTCGTGGGTAAATGTCTTCGTTGATTTTACTTGCTAACTTATGAGTCTCATACTTTTCAACACATAAAATGACTTTTAAGTTTATAAACAAATAACAATAAAATAGTAGTCAATTATAATAATTGTTCTGAGTATCTTCATGAGGTGCATAAAGACAGCTTTGGTTTCACAATTTAATGGAGATTCGGGAAGAAGAAACCTAAGAAACTTTTCTGTCTTCTATAGATATACACCATTACATAAGAGTGTTTACTCAAAAACTAGCTGACATTTCTCTGACACTCTGTGCAGTTCCTTTATCTGCATGAGCATGACATGATCTTTGTCCTTACATCTTGTTGAAAATGTGGCCATCTTTAGACAAGTAGCGTTTGCTAGTATATACGCAGCCATTTTCCAATGCTGCACTGTGTCTTCATATTGTCTCCATTCAAAGATCTCTAGATGCTTCAATAAACTTTCCGGAACAACTGCTGGTTCGTTCAAGGAGTTCTTCGGATCATTGTAAGGGGCACAATGATTCTGAGACCACCAAAAAAGAAAAAAAAAAAACATTACGTGAGTTAGTGCTCGGCCTTTGTAGGACGTACCTACTAGTTTCATTCTTCTAACTAGTTTATGAAGAGCTTGTGGAGCAGTTTGGTAGCTCGCAAGACTCACAAGTGTATCCATCGTTATAAATCTAATTAACATGCTAGTAAAATAAACAAAAGTCAATACTACATACCGACTTAAGCTTGAGCGAATGAAGTCTTGGAGCGTCATTGAGTATAGAAGCAAGAAGATTGGCCCATCCCGGAGAACATGTACATAGCTCTAGATGTTCCAGATAGGGAAAGACAGAGCCACGGCGATATGGAGTCTGCAAATAAAGTAGGTATATATACTGAGAATAACCAAGCATAGAAGAAACGTTCTTCACATTACTGGGGTAATAAATTAGGTTCTAACCTTTGAAGTTCGAGAACAGAGGGAAAGATGTTGGATTGAGGTAAGAGATCCAATGAACTTGTCAGATTGGACAAAAGTAACCTCGATATTTGCTTTGGTCACCTCGGGCATAAACTTAAGCATAAGATAGTTACTGACTGTATCCTTAATGTTCAATGTCTCCAAAGCAGGAGCATTTATCCAAAACCCATGATTCTTGTTGTTGTTGAGGGGTTCCTCTATTGTGTTCTTAATAGTTAAGCTCTTCAAAGTAGGGACATTGATACTATATACCCTGACATTGTCATATCTGGTTCGAGTTATAACCAAATCTTCAAGAGCTGCACACCGTTCTAAAAGCTCTGCAATAGATTTATCAGTCCAGACTCTAACAGATGAAAGGTGAAGACTTTTGATTGAAAACAGACAAGACTCAGGTGGGCTAACACTGAACATTGGACAACTATCTTTTTTGGTTTGGCTTACGAACAGATATTCAAGAACCGAGCAACTTTGCAGAAGATGTGTAAGAGAAGTACTACTAGCCGATAAAAGGTGCAGACTTTTGAGTGAGGACAAGCAAACAAGCTCCGAATAGTTATAGCAGGTTTTGTATAAAACCAAATATTCAAGATCCCGGCAACTTAGTAATAGACTTGAGATAGATTTCTTGTGAGAGGAGACAACGTTGAATAGGTGCAGACTTTTGAGAGACGGCAAAGAAAACCCTAGCGGAACAAGTGCGATACGTAAATCACGGAGTATCAATGATTTTAGGGTTGTGCAATTACTCAAGCACCTCGGCAATTTTAGGGCTTTGTAAAAAAATTTGAATCTCAACTTTCTCACAGATCTATTAACCGCGGCTTGAACCCAAAAGTTGATGACTGAAGGCGAATAGTATCGAACAAGCTTAAGATGCAATCTTTGTAGGCTCTGATCATCGTCAGACAATAAAGATCCGTACACAAAACTCATGAAATTCACGAGACTCTCCTCATTATCATCTCTGAACGTGACGTCTGGCACAAGTTTCCCAGGTTCCTTGTGCCGTTTTGATATGAGACGTGTTGCTACGCTCTCTTCAAACGGGGGAATCATTGAGAGTATCTTCAAGACCAGCTCATCTGGTAGCTCAGTGATCCTCTGTCTCACCATGTTCTTGTTTATCCCGTTGATTTTGACTGCGCGCTTCATATCCTAGCGAGTTTTACGCAGCAGAGACGAAACGAATCCTAGGTTTCGAGATTAATATATATGACAAAGATAAAAAAACTAATTCTCGATATTCCTGAAATTTTTATATTCTTTATTTTTCTATTTCACTTATTCGTTTCCTAATTCGATTAAATTTAGTTCTTTCCCTATGTATTCAGAACTTATCTGTTTTTTTTTTTAAATTGATACTAGTCTGATATTATCCTCTTGATCTCAAAAATCAATCAAGTAAGGACATCATCATTGATTGAATTTGAAGCTGTTACTTTTCTATTTTTTTTTCCTAGTTTAGGTTTTGAGATTTTAACTGGTTACTATAGAATTTTTCTAGATAATTAAAGTACTAAACAAAGGGCGTAAATTTTTTAACGTCATAAAAGCCGTAAGAAAATTGGTTTTGAAATCTAATATATTTCTTTTTAATGTTTTCACTATAGATTCAACTATTAAATTAATCATGATTGTTTCAAAAGAAAGCTCTAAAAATAGAAATGGTTATCTCAAACTTCTACAATCTCTTCTATAACTACTAATTACGAAAAGTGGGTTGAAGCCGGACAAGTTCTTATAACGTAATTATCAATATACATAAATATAAAATACATTAGCATATATCTTTTTATTTTACTGTTTTATAAAAAACGGTTGTCATTAGTCATGGAACTAAAATTTTCGGTCCAATATTACAAAAAAAAAATCAGAAAGAATGATTTTAAACGATGGTGGTGACGAGGACATGAAGCGGATATGTTACAATGGGGTCTTATCCTCTTTGCCTGAGCTAGTAAAACACCACCATGGGGAACTGAAAAACTCCAAAACAAATCTAAGCCATATATATACTACTAGGTTATATATACAATATACTCATATTAATTAATATTTAATTACAAACCGAGTTTATAGATCTCTCTGTTTATCTAGTAAGTAAACTATATTTCACCGAACACCGGAACATAGAGAAACTGAAAAGGGTTTGTAGTTATCTTATTGATTTTACACTACAAAGAATTTTTGTGTGATGCCAAAAAAAAAAAGATTTTTTGGGTATATTCCTAATAATTCTTAAAAAAGGATTATTATCTCAAAAAGGGATTTACAAAAACTAAAAAGGCACCACAATAGGAATGAGCATATGCAATTGATTGATAGATAGATAACAATAACACCATCAACAGCAAAAGGAAAAGAAAAGATTTGGAGATTAAATTGAAAATTAAATAAAAGGGTCGACGTTATCCACCACGGCTTGCACGTCAGTAATACCCACACACACATAAATATATATCCTTTTTAAATTTTAAAAATACAACTGGAATCTCTTCACATATCCATTATATAAATGGAAGATGTGTATCTGTAAATGGAACAACAACACAAACCTTAACGAAAGAACTTTCTTGTTCTGTTCCTTATCCTGTTTCAAGAATCCTTTTTCTTCTTGTGTTTAATATTCATTTCAAAGATGAATCTTCATTTATCATCATTATGTTCATTACCTTCCATGTGTTCTTCATCTGGTTTAACAGATGATGATGATGCTTCTTCTTCATCTTCTTCAAATGGACCTTTTGAAGATCTCTCTGACCTAATGTCACACCTCCCTATCAAGTAAGAAAACATTCTTTGATCATATTAATCTCTTAAAAGCTTTTTTTGAAACTTTTGATTTGGGGTTTAATAATCTAATAATTTATCATTCTAAAGATTCAGCTCTAATCTTTGACTTCTGGTAATAACAAATGTTGTATAATATTTCTTTTCTCAGGAGGGGATTGTCAAAGTTTTATGAAGGAAAATCTCAATCATTCACATCACTAGCAAATGTTAAAAGCCTTGAAGATCTTACGAAGACAAGTCTTAAAAATAGAAACTATGGAGCAAGAAGAAAGGTAAGGAGCACTGGAGGAATGATAGATCAAAACTACAAAATGGTGTACAGCCCTAAAGCTACAATCTCCAAGAAAGTCACAAGAACACCTTCCTCTGCTCTCTCTTGTCTAGCCAGAAGAAGACTTTAGATTTCACAGAAACATTAGTCTTTTTTTACCAACTCAGTTTCAGTAACATAACCAAAACAAAAATAAACATTTCCACCTTAATACTAAGCCTGTAAGAAAGATTCAAATGTCTTAATTGTATAGAAAAGTTAAATAGACTTGTCTGCACCCCTTTTTGGCCTTTAGGTCGTTTTGTTGTATGTATCAAAACTTCTAAACCGGGGTGGTTCCGAGAAGGTGGAAGCATTTCCTCATAACTTTTGGTTGTTGCTTCACATTGTAAGAGACGGCATGCCTCTTAACCGGAGAAAGTTTTTCATACTGGAAACATATTTAGTCTAAGTGAAGAAGATCAGATCATCAGCGTTGAGTTGAATTTCGTTTCAAATCAGCATACCTTCAAAGAACCTCACTATATCACACCATTTTGCAGCCTTGATTCCAAAGTTTTCACAAAACAGAAGATACAAAGGATGAATAATCAGACACTTAGTTTACAGAACCATATCCAAATGCCTCGGCTGATTGGTGCAGCAGCTCTTCAGGAGTCCTTTTTTTACCTGCACGGAGTTAAACTCAAGGTTGAGTGAACGGTTCAAGAGTCTCCTAAATGTGTAAATGATGCTGGTAAACAGAAATTAATCAATGTTACCACGCTCAGTCAGGATACCATTACCGCGGAGCTCAGCCTCATCAAACAACTCAACTAAAAGGACAACTTCTGAATCCCGAGTTCTATATGGGAAACGTTGATTTCAGAGACGCTTCAAAGAGCTTAGAAACTTTCCATTTAAAGTTTCCAGTGGTCTCATCCTCCGGTCACAAAACCACAACATACAAAAGAGAGATATAAGATATATCCAAATAGCGACTTACAGGCAGGACGGTCCTAACCGCCAAGTGAAACATTAGTCTATGGCGCGAAGAAATAATTTATATAGATATATACCTCCAATAAAGAAAAGTTATTTTTTTAAAAAATTATAAATAATTTATATAGATATATACCACCAATAAAGAAAAGTTATTTTTAAAAAAAAAATTATAATTTTTAAAAAATTAGTCTACTATAGCCCCTAAACCTCTGGGCTGACCTGCTTAAAGAGCTTCCATGGCTGATGTTTAATGTATCTTGGTTGCCATCTGCAACCGGTGGTACTCTCAATTTGACAATTATAGGTTACGGGAAGAACTGTACTAACTCTAGCAACTTCCCAACAAGCAAGAGATGAGACAGTTAATTGTTATTTCAGTTGTTTCAATCAGTAACTTCTGAGACAAGTAAACACCAAAGAAACTTATGACACAAGCACAATCATAACATCATCGAGAAATCAGAAGCACAACTTGCGCTTATATTGTCATATGCTGATATAACAACAATCTTATCCTAATTCCTAAGTAACCTAGGTGGTGACGTGACGGTATTTCTAATCTAAGGCTCACACTTCTCGATGAAAACTTCTGGCAACTAAAGAAGAGTCCATTCTTTTTGTCGAAGTCGGGTTAAGACGAAGCAAAAGAAATCGAGAGGAAAAGAAAATCCTTCATGAATTCATAGGTATCAATTGTAGTAATCAATTGTAGTAAATAAAGATGAAAGACTGTTTTTATTGAATCGGATGACTGATTACAGAGAGAAACTGATCACCATCACTCATGAATTCATCACTGAAACACTCGATAAACCCTTCTCTCAACCCTTCCCGTTATTATAAAGCTAAAGCATTAACTAAACCATAGTTACTTTTAGAATAACCCAACTTAACTAGAGTTACTTTGCCACGTGTAATCCTTATCTCATAAACCTTTGACCCTCAAAGACCATGGCTTGTATCAGAAAAGAAAATCGATCTTACTTAGCTTTGAGCACCGATGGTCTTGCTTTGGAGTCAAAAAGTCGTGGCTGATAAGGTTTTATAAGTAACTGTGTGCAGTTGCTGCGTCATATGCACAACTTGTAAGAAATTAAGAAATTCAGACATTTTCAATATAGTATTAATATGGGTAAGTGCTCGGGCTTATGTATTAAATGTCCAATATCTGGCCCATTAAACCCATTTTCTTTCGTTTACTTTTATGCGGCTCTATACACATGATAAGAAAGCAAGCCGTTTGATGAAAAAAAAAAAAGATAAGAAAGCAAGAACAATGGATGACAGGAAGCGTTTTGATTTATTTGTTTACTCAACATATATGTACTAATCTTTCAATTCTTGTAGTTTATAGGGTTAGTATAAAGTATAAACGTTTTTTTTTTTTTGGTTAAACACTTCACTTTATTAGTTTATGAACCAAAGTTCCCTCTCTTAAACAGAGAGTTTACAACAGAAGAAGAAAACAGAGCCTCTTTGGCTAAGCGATCAGCGACCGCGTTAGAGAGCCGAGGTACAAAACGAAACAAAATAGAAGAGAGGGAGTTACTCAACACACCAATGTCATAAAGTATCCCTTTGAGCACAATCACAGAGGAGTTTCCCGTGATGAGAGTTATCAATGCTTTAGAGTCTGAAAAACAGACCAAGTCGGTGATGTTGTGTGTTATAGCTGCTTTGATCGCTTCTTTTAAAGCCATAGCTTCTGTAAGGAGCACTGAAGCGACAAAAGGGGCCGGTTTTGATCCTTGCAGCAGCGTAGCCCCCTTCGAGTCGGTGATATTCCATCCCAGCCCGGCAGTAGTTGTTGAGCTCTTCCACGCTGCATCCGAATAAGAGAGAGCAGCAGAAGGCGGTAAGCGATGCAGAGGTTCCCTCAAGGGGTAGTCTTTAGGCGAAACAGGAGGAGAAGAGAGCTTTGTTGTCATAGAATTTTGCCACTCCTTAGCGTGCTTCAAAGCTTTTCCTATAATCTCTGTTTCAGAGAAAGACTTGTTCTCAAACACCAATTGGTTTCTAGCGGTCCAAAGTACCCACAACAGCCATGGGTAAAGAGGGAGAAGTAGTCCAGTGGGGGGGAGGTTGATCGATTTGGTACACTCCAGGAGGAGCTTCTCGACGGTGTTGACCGTCAAACAAGTCGGAAGAATGAACCCTGGTACTGCCTCCCACACCCTCGTTGCAAAAGGACAGAGGAAAAAGACGTGCAACGTTGTCTCCACCTCGCCACAACGTTTGCATTTTCCATCGATTTTAACTCCCCTTCTTTGCAAGTTTTCTCCAACCGCGATGGCATTACTGGCCAGCTTCCACATGAAGTTCTTGAGCTTTGGCGAGCAATTGACATTCCATACGCACTTTCTCCAGTTAAAGGTACTACGTTCACCTTCTCCATTGATTTTTGCCAGCGCATATCCCGTCTTGGTGAGTAAGTTCCTGTTTTTTCAGGCAGCCAGACCAGAGCATCAGTCATCCCACATTCACTAGGAACAAGCTCCCTGATACGTTCCTCATACTGAGGTATAACACGCCTGATTTTCAGAACATCCCACACTGTTGTCCCTGCAAACATCAACTCAGAAACAAACATCTCCCTATCTTCTTCTCGCGGTGGTCCCATAGGACAGCTCTGGTGCGAGAGAGAAAGCCAGTTATCCTCCCAAACTTTCACTGCCTTTCCATCACCGATCACCCAACCAATACCTTTCTTGATGACTTCCCTACCAGCCAGAATCCCTCTCCATCCGTGGGACGCCGAGTTTGGAGCTGAGCATTCAAGAAAATTGTCATGTAGACAGTATTTGTTAAGGAGGGTTTTTGCGAGGAGTGATGCCGGATTGTTGAGGAGTCTCTAAGCGTGCTTTGCGAGCAGGGCATCATTGAAAAGTTCAATCTCCTTGAAGTCAAGGCCTCCGGCCCCTATTGGGAGGGTAAGCTTATCCCAAGCTAACCAACACATTTTTCTAACCTCCGGTTTAGCATCCCACCAGAATCGGGTGAGAACAGATTGAATCTGCTTACACAATGATTTGGGGAGCTTGAAGCAGGACATGGCGTATGTTGGCATCGATGACAATACCGCCTTTAGGAGGACCATTTTTCCAGCACCCGAGAGATATCTGGCTGTCCATCCATGCGCTTTTTGTCTGATCCTGTCCACAATCTCCGTGAAAATATCTCTTTTTTCCGTCCGAAATGCTCCGGTAATCCTAAGTATTTGCCAATCCCTCCTTCATTACTAATATTCAGTTAAGGTAACGGCAGATTTTGCTCTGTTTATGCATTGGCCCGAAGCTGCCTCGTATCTAGAGAGAATGGAGGTGAGCGCTCTGCAGCTTTTGGAGTTTGACTTAGCGAAAAACATCGTATCATCTGCAAATAAGAGATGGTTAATGGGTGGGCACTTCTGTCCAATTTTTACTCCTGGTAGAGAGCCATTCATCATCGCACAGTGACACAATCCCGACAACACTTCAGTGCATAAAATGAATAAATACGGGGAGAGCGGGTCTCCTTGGCGGAGTCCTCGCGATGGAATCACCAGCCCCTGGGGACTTCCATTCACCAAGAAGGAGTAGGACACTGATGACACACATTCCATGATCCACCTAACCAGCATCTCGTGAAAACCCATCCGTAGCATAACAGCTCTCAGGAAACTCCACTCAATCCTATCGTAAGCCTTGCTCATATCCGTTTTGGCAGCCATAGACACATGTTTCTTTGCACCGGATCTGCGGAGATAGTGAAGAATCTCGTGCGTAATGAGGACGTTATCCGAGATAGCCCGTCCCGGTACGAAGGCTGACTGGAAGGGTGAGATAATAGAGTGGAGAACCGGTTAAATCCTCTTAATCAGCAGTTTGGCTATGATTTTGTAGTGGGTCGTGCAGAGAGCAATGGGCCGGTAATCAGAAACTCTCTTAGAGTTCTTAGTCTTCCGAATGAGACGAATGTGAATCTCATTTTGTCTCGGGTGTAGGGTGCTCGTCTCGAAAAAACCTCTGATATCAGTGTAGACGTCGTCCCCAATAAAGTATAAACGTATATATTGAATTTACCCCCTTTTGTTTTCTTCCCTCTGATTTGATATTTACGTTGATTAGTTCCCAAAATAAACATCAAAAGTTTGGTTTGTATAGTACATATCCAGCAAACTATCAAAGGAGAACAACTGTTTTTGGGTGAAATGTGCGTCAGTACTACGCAAATTAAACTCTTTGGATGTATTAAATTAATTAATTACAAAAAATTAGTTACATTACAAAATATATGCCATGTGGAAACTTAAAAGTGTTTGCTTTTTGTCCACTCTCAGTTGAAAAGGGAAGCATATTATCAGCTTTAAATTGCTTTTCTCTTAAGATTCGAATTTAGTATACAACTAAAGGTCGGTCGATAACCAAACCAATATTGAACAAAAATCACCAAACAAACCAAATATATTAGACTATTCATCAAATGCCTTTCAAGATTTTAACTAAATAAATTTAAATATCAAGACGAAAATAATAAATATTATTGATATTAGGATGAGTCAACTTCGACAACAATGGAAAGTAGAGAAAAGAAAGAGAGAGATCAAACTCGAGACATAAAAGCAACTACAGGAACTCAAAGAGACACAAACAAGACCAGACTTAAACATCAATAGGTTGATCTTATTTTAAGTCAATTAAAACACACGGAGTAAATAACTTCTCAAAAGAGTAATCCAATGACCAAAACCGAGACGGAGGCGAAGACAGTAGGGATAAACGAGGATGCATCGGAGGTAGGACTCGGTGCCGGGGCGTCAACCGCTGCAGCCGATTGCTGAACCGCAGAGAAAGCTATCATCGCAACCAAAACCGCCACGAAAAGCTTCATCTTCATTGCCTCCATTGTTAGTATATTTGGCGTCTGGAGAGCAAATGAAGAGAAGGAAAACAAAAGGGTTTGGTCTTATTGTTGTATTCTGTTTTCGATGTGTGACTTGTGAATCACATTTGTTAGTGTTTTTATACACGAGTAAGCATGTAAGGCCAAGTGTATACATGTCACTTTACACCAAGGCATTGAATAATTTTATTTGAATGTTTTTAGTATTTTACTATATATCCCACTATCAATTTTAGTTAAACTGTTTAAGAAATGTGTTATGTTGTACTGTGGAATTGTTTTATGACACGTAAAGGTTTTAGTTCATCAACTATGAATATAATTACTTGGAAAGAGCAACGCGCACCGCACTGTTTTGGATTGTATTTATTATCTTTTTCAGTGACGGCAAATTAATCTTCAACAAGTATTGTATTGTCATACTGTAGTATTTTTTTTCATTTTATATTCAAATAATCAGAAACAACTAAATTTGAATAACATCGTAATTATTATTTTCAAATGATCAGAAACAATTAAATTGAATGACATATAATCAGAAACAACTAAATTGAATAACATCGAAAACGTTTTAGGCTAAAATAAAACAAAATGTGCGTTTGTATAAAAAAAAGATTTTGATATATAAATGATATTTTCTCAAATATCCTTATTTTTATCAGTAAAAATATATTTGTTTTCAGTTTATTTTAAAGAGATTTTCATGAATAAAATAAAAAATAGAAAAAGAGTAAAAGTTGTTTAAGACATTTTACTGCTTTTTGAAAATTTCATTTAACATTTGATAAAATCTCAATCTTTACTTTTATTTTAATATTAAAATTTGATTTGAAAAGTTCAATGGTTTTCTCATCAATACTGATGCTCTTATATTTTTGTAAGTTTTTTTTTTCTAAAATAGATCTTTAGGTTTCTTACTTTTTCATCAGTGAATGATTTTACCTAATTTTCTCTTTCTCCGAGTGATTTTTGATACATATTATCTATAGTTTCACTTCATCAAAATTCCCATGATATAATGATGATCAATAAATTTATTATTTTTTCTTTGTGTTTGTGTAATGAGTATATATGAGAGAATTATTTTCTTTTTTTTTTGTCAATATGTAATTGTTTCTTACAAGTAAGACCATCTTTAATAACATTTTATATTTTTTTATAATTTACACTAAAATAGCGTAATTCTATTATAGAATAAATTTTACTCCAATGGTTTATTCTATAGTTATAGGATGAAATATAAAGGAAAGTCGCTTTTTCACTTTATATTTGGAGTAGAATAATGATATTACTCTATATTTTATTTTATAATAGTATAAATTTATTATATAGTAAACTATTGAAACATAATTTATTTTATAATAAACTTTATTTTTATGTAAATTGTAGAGAGAAAATGTGTGCCATTGAAGATGTAGTAAAAAGCGAGAAACAAAAAACTGGATGGTGGTTCCATGTGCTCAAGTGACATGATTGGCCTAACCCACATATCTTCTAATTATTTTTCCCTTATTTTCCCCTTTTTGTAATTAACCGACTTTGATATTTTGATTCAGCGTATCAATTTTCGTTCATTATTCGGCGTACCAATATTTAAATCCAACATTATTAAGTAATTATTGAATCCTGTAATTATGTATATCATCATATTCATAAGTATTTCGTAACTCGTAGCTTTTGTTAAACAATTATTGTATAGATTATCTAATCCTATAACTTTTTATATATCTATTGTAGGACTGGATAAATAAACCGAATCAAAAAATTCAAACGATAAATAAGAGTTCGAACCAAACTGAAATCGACATAAATATCGAATGAGACTTGTTTTATGATATTTCGGATTATAGGTTTTATCAAAACAGAATCCGAACTCAACTGAATATCTGAACAAACCTAAAAAATTAAAATCAAGAAAAAAACATATCAAATACAAGTTCAATCTTGAATACGTATCCGAAATAGACAAAAGTATTTTTGAGTAATTCATTAAATAATTAATTCAAATACTTAATTCAGTATACGATTTAATATTTGGTTAATGTTTTTATGTTTTGACAACTACATTTTAAAATTTCAATTATGATAACACGCCTTCTTTTCTACATTGACTGATTTGAAAGTGTTTTTGTTCACTATTACATATATTTCACTCGTGTTGTTGTAATTCTACTATGACAAAACTGTCTGACATATTACATAATAAAACAAAATGTATGTTTAAATTTCTAAAAAATAAGTATGTTCAGATAATATATAGGAATGTGGATAATTAAAACCTGATTTAGATCTGAATCCAAAATTAAACGTGTTCAATCAGATTTTAGATATATTACCAAACTCAAATTAAACCAGACTAAATCCGAACCAAAACTGATATGAACTTTTATAATATATGAATGAGGCTGATTTTTATAAATCCAAAATTTACCACCATCTGAAATGCGCGAAACTTTAATTGGTGGAAGCCAATCCATGAAGATTCTTGCACTTCCCCTGTAAGCATCCAGTATCTCAGTTAATAAAAGAAAGGGAAAGTTTTGCATCTTGGTGATCCTTAGAGCATCCACATCAATGAACCCCCTCTTGGGATTCATTGAATTAATTTTTTATTAGATGGACGGCCCGCACGCCTGTGCGGACATTAATATAATCTATACATTGTATGAATAAAAAATAATATAAATGTATAAATATATTGTAACTTTCTTTCTCTTTTACATAGATACTCTGTTTTTAATATATTTTTCTATCTTCCTCATTTCGTTTCTCCTTGTATTTTTTCACACATTTGTTTTGTTTTTTATGTATCTCTCTTTGCATTATTTTTGTATGTCTTTGTACACCTCTCTTGCTCTCTTTTTCTTTCTCTCTCTCTCTCTTAGTTGATCAAATAATCTCAAAATCTCTCAAACTTACATTCACTCTCTCACAATCACATATGTTCATTCGCTTACCCTCGTCCTTTATATGATCCTCAATATTCCACTATAAAACTCTCTCTATCTTTCTTTGGTTGCAAAATTTCACCAGATTTTGTTAAATCTTCTAAACACTTTCACATAATATTAATAAATGATTTCAGAATCTATCTCACTTATATTCAGTCTCTCACTTATATTCACTTTCATCTTCATTATGATCATAATCGACTCTCTAATCCTTATCATCACCATATCTCCCTCTCTTTCCCCCTTTCTTACATATTTTTTTATTCAGAATTTAATATAAAATCACAATTGACTTACCAAATAAATTCATTATCAGATTCTCTCTAATCTTCACACTATCTTATCAAACATTAATTTCTTTGACCAAGATCTTCATTGAAAAAATAAATATCTTATTATTAAATTTTTTAATTACTTTATTACATACATATTTTAAGTAAATCTAAATAAATGTATTTCAAAAAAGTAAATTTGATTAAATAGTTATATAAAATAAAATATCTTAATTATTAAATGATGTGATGTCATTATTTTAGACATAGATTAATATAAACATGAGATCAACAATTTTAATATATCAAAATAACATGTTTCTAGTTGTATAAATTTTGTTATAACTTTGTTATCATATATTTTAAAAGTTTATTACACCACAAAAAATACTTATCATTATTTTAAAATAATTTATTTTAAATTTAATTTGCGTTAAATTTTCCATCTTCAACATTAACAATTTTATAACTTATCATTTATATTTATCTTCCTTGCTCATTTTTTCTTTATGTTGTATAAACACCTAAAAATGATTAGTTTACAATTATATTGATACGTAAAAAATATTTTGGTATACAAATAAAAAATTATGTATGTACAAATACAAAGTAACGAAGAATACAACAAAATGTTTTATTATTATTCACTCATGTTTTTATTTATGTCTCTTTTCTTTTTTTTTCTTATTAAAAATAAACATGCCAATCATACTTAAAGCTATATGAATTATACGATAGAATATTAACTCTAATCATGTATTAATATAATGTTTTGATTTTTTCTAATTTTATATTATAATAAACTTTTTCATTTATTCATATTTTTTTAAAATGACATACCATATGATTTTCTGTTTTAAATATAAAATACTTAAATAATTTTTGAAAGTAATAACTCAATTATACTATCGACATTTATCTCTGGAAAATGATAGATTTTTAAAATTTTTTTATATTTGATAGTTTTGCATTCATTGAACATATTTTAAGAATACATATATATAGTGAGTGAGTATAAAAATATTATTAGTTTTCTGTAATGTATGATTTTTTATCCATTATTAATAGAAAATTTTTTAAAATCGTTTATATACTTATTTCTATAATATAATATGTATTTATATGTATATTCTAAGTTTTTATAATGGGATATGTGATATTTAATTGTTTCTATAAACAAATTCTATTAATCATATGTATTTAAGATGGTTAATTGCTTGTTTGGTAATATATATTAGATTAGGTAATTCTAGGATTAGTTTCCTTTTAAAAAAATTTAATTAAATAAATAAAAATAAAAATTCAAATTCCAACAACCAATCAAATTAAAAGAATTAATTCTACATTGCACATATGAATAACATGTAAGCAAAATTCATTAAAGTGACTTCTCTTTTAATATATAAGGGGGATTATTAAAATTTTTCTGTTTTTTTTTTATTTAAAAGAAAAATCTAGACCAATCCCGAGCTGACACGTGTTGAACCTCAGGAGAGAGGGGTTCATCCGAGAGAACTTTAGGAGAGAAGGATTCATAGGTTTTTGTTATTTTATTATTATTTTTTTTGGTTTCCGTGTGAACCTCCCATTTGAACTCTCAATGGAGGTGCTCTTAGTTGCTTGACTTCGGTTCGAATGAGCACGATTGCCTTGCCTAATTATATCCTTATATTTACTTATCGATCATACTTTCACAAATTTAAATTAATTTGTAGACTGTATAATAATATTTGTATCTAGACAATCTGGCATGCACCATGAATCTCACCTAAAAGTGACAATACTGTTATTTTTGCACTAATTGAATTTATATATTTCCAGCAGAGTAAAGTTGAACATGTTAGTCAGTTGATTTGTCAATTACAAAATTTAACTGTTAGTTATCATTCTCCTTATGCCTTTTTTACTTTATGTAACGTCATGAAAAAGAAATCATTATCAACAGATAAATTAGTAGTTGGTGAAATGTTAAATGCTGATATTTCATTGATTAACACATATAATTAGTTGGTAGTTTGGTACAATGAATAAAACTTCCATCCATTTGATAAGCAGATGCAATAAGGGGAAGACTCTAGAACAAACAAAAGGTCCGCAACTTTCTTGTCTTCAAGGTTACAAAGAGATAAGACAACCAGATTCCCCTTCACACACAGTTTCACACTTACAAATACAGACAAATGTGTTCTCTTCAAACACAAGTAAGAACAAACAAAAA